TGAGCAGATTATAAACCTAAAACAAATGCAGTAGCATTATTGAACATGGGTCATACATTAAGGGCAAAACACACATGGGAGGAATAGGGAAAGGGATGTAAACCTAAAACTTAAATGTGGTTGATGTGCTCATGGTAGAGGTGCAAATAAAGTAATCTTAAACTGGCAGAGAAAAGGGGACTAGGTAGTAGTGAAGAGGTCTGGTAGAGATGAACCAATTTGGTAAATGTAAAAACAATAAAATAGAGAAAAAAAATAAGGTTAAAAAAATGCCAATCCAGTTTTCCTACCAAACTCTGCCTTCTGTAGAACCCAACCTCTGACAGTTGATTATTTGAAAGACCAATGAAACCATTAATCTACTGTGGGGTTGTTAAGAACAAAAGAAGGAATTCAAATAAAACCAACATTTGTGATGGAGATGATGACTTGACACTACTGAAGACAATCAAAAGTCATAAAATTATCCAATGAACAACTGTTCATCATTAAATGTCAAAATATGTGTCCAAAGTACATATTCCTAGATAAACATAATTTCCCAGAATAGGTGAAATAATAAATAGAAAACCCACATATTTCTGTAGATATTTAAAAATATAGTCTTTAATTATTTCTTTCTATAATAGTTTCAAAACCAACATAAAACAAAACTGAATTATCTATAAGGATTAGCTATCAAGTGCATACTTAAAAACTACCCTTAATGTCCATTTAATAACAAAAGTATATGAATCAAATGTTAAATATTCTAGGATAAGGATAGGAACATTTCCTGTCAATTTTTATTTTTGCATGACCTTAAAAGCAAAGCATGGAAAACACATGATAAGTATATTTCAAGCCTTCTTACTAATAAACATTGATATAAAAATCCTAGACAAAATATTAACAAATTTAATCCTTTCATAAACTGATGTGCCTAGTCTAAGTTTATTTCAAAAATGTGTGGTTTTTCTTTGAAAATAAGTCAATATAATTAATCACAGTATTAAGATTATAAAAAAATCATTCAGGCTTATAAAACCATAAATCTCAATGGTTACCAAATAATCTTTTGAAACTTGGGATCTACTACTGTTACAAAACCCCAGACACCTGTGGCTCACGCCTGTAATCCTCGCTACTCAGGAGGCAGAGATCAAGAGGATTGCAGTTTGAAGGCATCCCAGGCAAATAGTTTGAGAGACCCTGTCTCAATAAAACCCTTCATAATAAGAAAGGGCTGGTGGAGTGGCACAAGGTGTATATATCAGCCAATGCAATGGAGCAATAACTATAATAAACATAAGATTGGAAAGAATGCAGAAAGAAGCTGGCCTTATTTGTGGAGTGTGATTAAGTACAAACTAAGGCTTAAATAGTCTGCTAATCACCTCTTAGAAATAAAAATAAGCTTAGCAGTTTTAATCAAGCAAGACCAAATACAGGTTAACTTTATATTTACATATCAAGGCTAAAGATTTAGGAAAATATAATTTATAAGGCTAGTTCCATAACCCTAAATTAATATAAAATGCTTAAGAATAACCTAAGGTAAAACAGATAGTCTCCAAATGCACAAGTATAAGACAATATTGAGAAATATTAAATACCTTGAAAATTTAAAGTCCATGTTCTTAGATTTGAATATCTGATATCTTAAATATTTTAATTCTTCCAAGACATGACATATTCTCATAAAATTACCAATATGTATCACTTAAAATTGAGAAATTTTTTCTAAAATTTGTAAATAAGTGCAAAGTGTTAGCATAGCAAGATGTTAAGAAAAAGAATGTTTGAGATGTCATCTCCATACAAAGCACTGTGGAAGCAGTGATGCACTATTGGCTTTGCAGTGAGTAACAAGGAAACTTGAACCCTGTTGTTGATTAACAAATGGCTAGTAAATGACAATTATTAAACAACCATCTTCAATGAGAAATGGTAAATACCTTATAACAGAAAGGCCTATCATTTTGCTTTATTACCATGATTCTATATCATACCTCTAATCAATGCTGGTTTCAGGATTTTTTTAGATCAGAGAAGTTATCAGTTATCATGAATTTACTTTCTTATTCACATTTGAGAAAACTATTACGTTTGAAAGAAAGGACTAGAAATCATAGATGGAACTTGGTAAACATTTCTATTATCTCTAGTATTATGGTCATATGCTTAAGCTACAGCTCTTGCAGTCGTTTCATCTCTAGGGATCTATCAGAGTCTGATATCCGTTCTTAATGTTCTACCCAGGAGAAATGAGGAGTATTTAGAGATAGTGGAAGCACTTGATCCTCACTGTTCAGAGTGAAAGGTTTTCAAGAAACACCTCAGGGCCACAGAGGATCGAAATTGCAGTGTCTTGTAATCAGTACAGGCTTGACTCATCTCGGGTGAGTGAAAAACCAAAGAGAGCAGGAACTAAAATTGCAGAAATACTAAGAAAAGTAAAAAGACAAAGGCAAGAAAAGAAATGGAAAAAAGACACAAAATTAGATAAAGGCAAACTAGAAAGAAATGGCAGTAGGAAACAGAAAAGATATAGCAAGGATGTTCAGATAGGAAATGAAAAGAGAGAGAATAGAAACAGAAAGAATTTGACTTAATCTGTGGTGCAGGAAAGTTTAGTCAGAAAAGGACAAAATGCAACTGTGACTTATTTGGGAAATGGGCTATTGGATGAGCACCAAGTGATGCAATTGTCCCATATATAAATTTCAGAAAGGTGTTGATTTTTAAATTACAGATAAATAGTGGCAAAGTTTTAGCAAATTTTGTGTTAACATGTAGTACTAAAGAGTAATAAATACAGGAGGAAAATTGTGCCATTCTCTATGAACAATTTTGAACTGCATGATATATAATGTCCTGCTCCAATATTTTCAATAAATTTCAAGATAAGCTGGTCAGTGGGAAATAGCTTTTGAGAATTGCAGATTAGATAGAGAGGCTTAAGAAAATCATGTTATCCTTAGTAGTTTTTTCCTTGTTACTTGCAATATGTGTATAGGTGATGTGAGTCATTTCATGCCTCCACCCTTTGAAATAGTGGTCATTACTCTTAGTCCTTTCATGATTTTTCTATTTCAATCTTAGAGTGATTAAATTGTACTAATTGTAACAAAGAACCACCATGACTCATGGGCAATGATCCACAAATATTTAGAATAATCAACTGAGAAGTGACAATAATAAAGGGACTGAGAAACTAAGTGGAAGAAAAGACATGACAAGATGGGATAATGAAAGAAGGATAAGAAAGGAAAAGTATGCAAAGGAACAGAGTAGAACACTGGTTAACAGGGATAGGCAAGGGGAAGAAATGGGAAGAAATTGATCAAAGGTACAAACTTGTTATGTAGCATGGATAAGAGCAGAAATGCAATATATAGATAGCCTAAGGACTAAATTGAATGATATGATACCATATCTTGAAAATTGCTAAAAGAGTAGATTTTAAGTGTTCTTGCGACATACACATAAGGAAGGTTATATAATAATTTACTTGACTGTAATAATCACTTAAATATACATATGTATATTATATATATAAAATCATAGCTTTGTGTTGTGCACTTTAAATGCAATAAAAAGAAATAAAAAGTATGAACACTTGTATTCCATCTATCTGTAATAACTTTAGACCGTGAACAGGTCTGCAATTGAAATTTTCCAAATGTTATAATAATAACAGAGTAGAGGAATTAAGACAATTTGAAACAATACAAACGTTCTTTATGTCCTGATACATACCTGAGAATTGTAAAAAGTATGATTTCTATTAGGAGGTGGAAGAATTAAGAGAGGAAACAGAATACCTTTATAGCATAGGATAAAAGAAACTACTTCACTGTGGAAAATTAAATGCCTTGAGGGAAAATTCTGCTCAGTAAGTGTGAATTTAGTGAAGTAGCTTAATGCTTTATCCAAGCAAGTGTTCCAATGAAAGCTCCATTTAGATTGCTGAGGACTGGAGCAGAGTATCAGAGCTGAGTGTGATCTGGAGAGTGGGGGACACCCAGAATTGAGCAAAATGAGAGAAACCTTTCTTATTCCACGGAGAAAATGGCTTAACATTTTCTTCCCTTCCTCAGGTATAGATTCTAAATCATGTCCTTTTTTGGAACTGTAGGTTGTACAACCTAAGCACTTTGTCTTCACACTAAAGAATGGAGATAAGAATCACTCAAAGGGAAGCATTAAAAATAAGCAAATACAAGCTTTTCATGAAATACAATCAAAATAGTAAAACATCGAGGCTGGGTAGCTGGGGTTCTATGATATGAGTTTTGAAGCTGTATTTGAGAAAGTTTTCTCTTTAGGCTAGGGCTGAGTCCTATGCTAGACTCTCTAGAGTCAGAGACTGGCATCTACCAGGAAAAATGAGAAAGCTATTGAGTGTTTTAGAGATGTCTGAAGTCAATCCTTCCAGGTATGTGAAGGATTTCCTTATGGGCAGTCAATGGGGTTAGACAGGGCTAACCAGAGACTGGTGCATGGTGATAGAATATTCATATTTTATCACTAAATATTTTGAAGTATAAATAAAAATCAAATTGAAAGGAAAATACACTTAGTTCTTGGGACTAATTCAATTGCCAGGCATGAATATAGCCTAAAAGCAAGTGCTGAATTGCTCAAGAACATTTCTGACAGAAAGTTTATGCAAATCCATAGTCATTTTCTCTAATTTCATCTTTATAATATATAGTAAATCTTTCTTCCTTTACTTTTGTGTTGCCATATCCTCAATGCAAATTCAAAAAGTTTCTTGTCAGAGATGACTATATAAATATGTGGTATACTTTTTTGTTTCAGAGTGTATTGTTAATTTGGTGAAATATTTCTTACATAAGACCCACAAGGGATTCTTCCTTTCTTCTGATGTGAGGTAAGAGGAAAGATGTATTTTGTTTTTTTGCATACTTGTACTCACAAAAGATAACTTTGAGGGATAAAGAAGAATAACAAAGAACATTCTTCACTGTCTGCCAAGTTATTCAAGGGCCACCATGATGTTCTGGAATAACAGTGGTGCTATGGAACCTGTATTTATCCTGAAGGATTTTCCTGGATTGGACTACGCTCATTCTTGGCTCTCAGTCCCATTCTGCCTTGCATATTTGATAGCATTTATTGGTAATGTTATCATCCTCTCTGTCATTTGGATAGAGTCCTCACTCCATCAGCCCATGTATTACTTCCTTTCCATCTTGGCACTGACCGACCTGGGTATGTCTATGTCCACACTTCCCACGATACTTGCTGTGTTATGGTTGGATGCTCAGGAGATCAAGGCAAGTGCTTGCTATGCTCAGCTATTCTTCATTCACACATTCACATTTCTGGAGTCCTCAGTGCTATTGGCCATGGCCTTTGACCGTTTTGTTGCTATCTGCCACCCACTGCACTATGCGACCATCCTCACCAATGGTGTAATTAGCAAGATTGGTTTGGTCTGCTTGTTAAGAAGCATGGGAGTTGTACTGCCCACACCCTTGCTATTGCGACGTTATCACTACTGCCATGCCAATACCCTCTCCCATGCCTTCTGCTTGCACCAAGATGTTTTGAGATTATCCTGTTCAAATGCCAGGATCAACAGTGTTTATGGACTGTGTGTAGTCATTGCCACCCTAGGCATGGATTCAGTCTTCATACTTCTTTCTTATGTTCTGATTCTGAGTGCTGTGCTGGGTATTGCCTCCCATGAAGAGCGGCTAAAGGCACTGAACACATGTGTATCTCATATCTGTGTGGTTCTCATCTTCTTTGTGCCAGTTATTGGGGTGTCAATGGTTCACCGCTTTGGGAAGCATCTGTCTCCTATAGTCCATGTCCTCATGGCCAACATCTACTTGCTTCTGCCCCCAGTGCTTAACCCCATTGTTTATAGTGTCAGGACAAAACAGATCCGTTTAAGAATTCTCCGCAAATTTGGGCTAGGGAAGAGGTTTTAATTAACCTGTATTCTCTATTTTCCCCACTGTAAAAATTGGGCAAGCTATTTTTCTACATAACAATGATTTAGGTCTTGGATCATGATCAGATGGTTAAAATCTTCATTCTTTCACTTTCTAAATATATAATCTCAGTTAATTGTTAATCTTTATGTCATTCAGGTTTTTCATGGCCAAATTATAACTATGGATTTATCTATCCCTAAGGTCATTATGAGACTTATATAATGCATGTAAAAGAAATTAATATTTTGAAAACTCTACAAATTTACTAACATGTCAAATTATTATTAATATACAATAGTAACTTTCCTTATAAAATTTAACTATGCTTACAGTCTGTATTGTTAATGAAGATATATAACTCAGAAATCAATCTTGATTTCTTTCTCTTTTCTTAATACATTTGCTCATATTTTGTTTCTCATGCTATAATTTCATAACTTTTTATGAAAATGTTTTTGAGATTTTAGGGAAAGAAAAGAACATGAGTTCCTGTCATGACTTTGATCTGGTACAGTGACTGTTGGTAATGGACCAAATGTAGTCTCACCCATGGGGAGATTTGTCCTTTCTTCCATTGTTATTCTTGATCTATCAGGTCCACCTAAGTTTGCCAGAAAATACTGATGAAGATATATGGGACCTGTTCAAGATTTGACAGTATGTATCTGAAGCTCTGGGTGACTGTGCAGACTCCATTCAAAACCAAAGGATAGGACTTTATTTCTTAATTTGTGAGTGGGTTGAGAGTTCTGCTCCTTCCATTTGCTCCTTTTTCTTTTATCTTTACTCTTGTTCTACATGTCTATATGTACATTTGAAATATATATTCAAATATATATTTATATAAAATATATGTCATATTTATATAAAATATGTTATATTTTATATTACATATATTTATATAAAATATGTTATATTTTATATATATATATATATATATATATATATATATATATATATATAATATATATATATATATATATGGTGGTACTGGGGCTTGAACCCAGGGCCTCATGCTTGTTAGTCAGGCACTCTACCACTTGAGCCACTCTGACAACCCTTTTATGCATTGGGTATTTTTGAGATAGGGTCTCAAGTACTATTTGCCTAGATTAGCTTTGAACTGTGATCTCTGCTTCCTGAATAGCCAGGATTATAGGCATGAGCCACTGGCAGCTGCTGATACTATGTCTTTATCATTTACTTTATTGTGAACATTCAGTTTCTTTGTTCTTTCTTATTAGGATGATCTACATGTATGGTTTCTTGTGTGATCTCTTATTATTTCACATACATTCATCTTAGCTGAATTGCAAACTTTTTGAGCTTGGGACCATGACTGCTACATCAACATAGCACTATGTGGCTGCTCTTTTGCAACAATGATAAGTCTCATAAAATAATTATAGATATAAATTTTAATTCTTATTCATTCATTGAAGAAAAGTACATTGAGAAAAATGAAATATGTATTGTGGCAGTTATTGCTTTTAATACTGTAAATGTGTAAACAGTAAAATGCATGGTCTTAATGTGAAAAAATATTAATAGTGGAGATAGCTAAAAAGATTAGTAAAATTAAATTTAATTGATTTTATTATTATTGAAATAGGTAAGAAGTGGTCAATTTTACTTAAGGATTTAGGAATCAAGAATCAAAATTAATGGTGTATGCTTGTGGGTCAAAGTCATTCTTACCAGTTGGACACTTTTGAATAAATTTTATGTGTTAAAGCTCATTCATGAAAACCAATTATGCATATTTTGTTCCAACTCTGTCTCTGTAATGTCACATGGTGGCTTGAAATTGGTTGTGATGGTATGTTCAAGCCACAGATATTGACAAACACTGCATAGTAGGGCTTTAAAAAAATTATAGCTAGCTGGTTGTTAAACATTTGCCAGCATACCACTCAGAAAGCTGTTCCAGGAAGAAGATATATCATGAAGAAAAAAAAAAGGATGCAGAAAAAGCATGTATTATTAACACTGTCCAATCTCTAGAAAAAACTTAAAACTTGCCAAAAGGATCCCATGTTTATCCCAAAGTGAAAAGGCTCTGGCATGGGATGGGAGGACCTGAAGATGCACTGTTCAGATCCAATTTCACTGAATAAATTGCAGTCCTGGTGGCTGGCATTGCTTCCAGCAGAGATCCTTCAACTATTAACCCCTTCAGGAAGTGCTTCAGGTGTAGAAATGTTCCTTGCCCAACGTGGTGATCCTTTCAATGACTGAAGTATAAAGGCATATGAAGTCTTGATTTTTTTGGTCCATTGCAGAAAAACTTAATTGGACAATTTGAGTTCCAAAACTCTCTGTGGGAGTGGACAAGGCTATCATCAGTCTTGATTCACAGTTCCAATTGTTCTTCTGCTACTCCTACTCAATTCCTTTTCTTCCTAAGATGCTTACCCCAAATATTCTGTATATTAAACATAACATACACTAAAGTTGGCCTCGAAGTGTGTTTCCCAGAGAACCGAGGAATGAGAGATTCCCAGAAAACCTGTGACATAGAGGAAGAATGAAATAAAATCTTCAAAACACACTCATGCAGGTGGACGGAACAGGATTAGAACTCAAGAGTAGAGTGTCATATTTTTTAACTCTGTTTTAAACAGAAGGTAGAACAATAACCACATAGTAATTTGAATAGAGCTAGTTAATACTTGCATAAGTAATTATTAACTTTGTCAGGAAAATGACATTAAGGGAGATAAAGATACCTCTAAATACTTTGCTAGAGCTAAGGGAGAATATTCAAGGAAGGAGCAAAGTTGGAAGAAGGGAGAGGTCCTTTGCAAGCCTGAGGTTGAGACTTCATTGGATAATGTGTGGTTTTAGTTGACTGAATGTCAGAGTTTACTCAGTTGTCTTGGGCAAGAAAGAAACCCTCCTCTGGGTGAATAGGCTGACCAAGGCTGGCAAGTGAGATCCATTTTTAGGGCTAGAAGAAGGAGGCACCAGGTAGGGAAACATAGCTGGAACTGGTAAGCAATTGACACATTTAAATAGCAAGTTAGATAGGAAATCCCAGCCTAGAAAACCTCCTTTCAGAGGGCAGAAGTTATGGTTGGGCAGCTAACTAGTAGTGTAAATTCAAGATTCATTAACAGTCTATCCACAGGGCCGCAGCTGAAATTTGATGGGATGAGTGTCTCTAAATAAGTATCTTTCTTTTATCTGTATGATAAAAGAAAGAAGAATCAAGCAGAATCTCCTCCAAGTGTTCCTGTAGCATCCTCTGCTGGCCAAGCTTAACGTCATGTTATTTGTAAAGGAAAAAAAAAGTTCATTGAATCTGGTTATATCACTGCAGAGTAGGATCAAGGCACATTTTCAATAGGACTAAATAGTCTACTCAGAATTATTTTCTTAATAAAACATTATCCATAAATTAGAGTGCTCTCTTTGTCATACAATATAAATGTATCTGTATGAGTCTAATTCTGGCCTTTCTCTTCTGTGCTATGATTTTTTTTACCCTTCTCTTAATCCAATAGTATCCTTAATAACTGTGATTTTTATGCTGTCTGTTACAAGGAGTATTGGCTGAACAGTTTAGAGCAACTTCTACTTCAAATGTCAGTGTCTATTGCTGACATTTGTGTTTGTACATTAAATTTTATATGATATATTCAGTTTGTATAAATCTAGAGTTTATAGGTTAATTTGGAGTGATTAGCCATTCTTACTAGGCCTTCTAATCTCATAGTTCATCTCTTGATTGAATTAGATAATCTTAAATTTCTTCAATAGTCTGAAATTTTAAGTGTAGAAGTCTAGAACATCTTTCATTAGCTTTTCCTCTGTGTTTTGATGCCAATATAAGCAGTATGCTTTAAATTTTAGCTTCTGCTCACTATTGCTAGCGTATGTTTTTTAGATAGAAAACGATGTGAATTAATGTAAGGGTCTCATGACTTGTCTTAGAGTATTTTGCTTTTACTAATGTTTCAGCAATACTGTTTGTCAATAATAATAAAGTTTATTACTTTCCTCACAAATTTTGTGTCTTTCATTTATTTTTCTCACCTAAATTATAAAGACAAGGTGCCTAATATATTTTAGAGGTGAAAGTAGTGAGTATTTCCTTCTTTTTTATATCTGGGGAAATTGCTTTGATTTTCCACAAGTCAGATTGAAAGAAGTTAGCTTTCTTTTTAATTATAGCAAAGAAGTTCTCTTCTGTTTTTAGTTTAATATTTTTATCATTATCAACATTAAATTTAGTCAAAAAATTTCCTTCATCAGTCTATATTATTAAATGATTTCCCCACTTTTAATATTTTAAATGACTTTGTGTGATTTTTGCATGCAAAATGACATTTATGCTTGAATTAAATCCAAGATAATAGTAGTGTGTGTGTGTGTGTGTGTGTGTGTGTGATTACCAGATTAGATTTGGAAATATTTTGCTTTAGATTTTGTTATCTATTTTATGCAGGTTAAGTAGTTTTAATGTATATTTTGCATGTGATAACTTCATTCAATTTTGGATTACAGTTTATGCTCGCCACACAAAATCCTAAGAAATAATCTCTCACTTGTATTCTCTGGAAATATATGTGTACAGTTATTATTATAACTACTAGTATTTCTGAGTTAATGTTTCAAATAATTCACTAACGATAGTATTTTGACCTAGGATTCTCTTTCTGCAGTACTTTTAAATAAGAGTTTCAAGAAAGATAAAAACTAGTTTCAGATGGTAACATCTGAACTGTTCTGTCTTATATATTGTTATGTCTTATTCTCTTCTTTTTAAAAACTCTACTATACATTCTTACTTGCATGTGAATTATTCTCTGGTCTATGTTGTGTTTGTCCATCTTTGTTTCTTCGTGGTACTTTCCTTTATGTTTTAACAAGACAGTATATGAGTAAAAGTTTCATCTTGCTCAACCAAAGTACCTTGATAAAAGAAGCTATGATTTCCATCTCCTATTGCACTAGAACTTGTGCCTATATTATGTCTCAATAAATAATCG